GCACAAATATGGATCTTTTCTGGTAGGTTGGCTTAGGTGGCTGTCTTCCAAATGTCTTGGCCTACGTGAGTAAGCACTTGTAGCTTTTGCATCTGTTTGTTGAGACATTTCAACTGGTATTCTCTGAGTTCTCGGAGCCATGTTTCAGCAGTGTTTTCAGTGCAGTGGGGGGGAGGAAAGACCGCCCCTTACAACTAATTGCGGGTTCGATAGGCACAGTTGTACGGTTGAGATGTAGAAATTATAATAAAGTCCTAGAGAGCATGAGAAATAAGAGATCGAAATAATGGAGTCAGACACATTTCATGGTAGCATGCTCACCTCAGTCCTGCTTAGTGGTCTACGTGGAGATAGGGGGAGGGGAAGGAGGAGGACAAGGGGAAAGGGAACTGGAGCGAGGACCAACAGAGAGAGGATGGGGGAGTGGAGAGAGGCCAAGGGGGAATCTTTATTGTTAACCCAGGCTTATATACCTTTGGGGGGGCATGCAAGCCCCCTAATTACAGGTAGACATACGTTACAGGAAGGGGTTGTACATAGGTAATACAGCAATGAGAGCGGGACAGTCTAGAGATACACACGCAATAGGGAGAGGAGGGATTGGGAGTATACATGTGACAAGATGGGCGGATCCTAGATACAGGATGGCAGCCTAACTTTGGATCTCACTGAGCTCCATTGACCTGTTCTCTTGATCCCCATAGAAACCATTATCAGTAGGGTGTAAATCCCACCTCCAAGGACCAGACTAATGGTCACAAGCCTTTAGGGAGTAGCCCATTGTCCTTAACAGCAGGGAGCAGACCCTACCTGTGGTGGGACCAGACAGTCGTCTGGCAACTGACTGCCTTCAGGGAGGTAACTTGACAATCATTTACCATTGGCTGCAAGCAGTGTCCTAAGTCTAACATATATTTGGGGTAGACGACTTGGGATAAATCTTTGTTTCCCACAGTGCAGGTTAGATGTCTTCCTTTTAACAGTATCAGTTCCTGGAAGTTATCTTTTATTTATTTGCTTGTTTGCTTGTTTTGGAAGCTATCTTTTGAAATGGTTGAACATCAATTCTTTTTGATACAGTGACTTAGTGTATTCCTACAATTTTCCAGTATCATTCAATATTTTGCCCATGGACCCCTTCAGTAGTGCAATTTAGACCTTGAATTTTTTCCTCCAGTTCTTTCAACTTGTGAAATGTCAAGTAACATTGTTCTTCAATTTTGAATTTTTAAATTCAGGTCCTTGCATGTTTTATTATAATACTTTGGCTTTTCAAGTTACCCTTTGAAAACTTTTGTTCAGCTTTTACTTCATTATTTCTTCCATGTGCGTTAGCAACTCTGTTAAAGAGCAAGTTTCAAGTCATAACCTACTGCCTTAAGGTCAACTCCAACTCATAGCATACTCTATGTAAGGTTTCCAAGACTAAATCTCTATGGTAGCATAGAGCTTCATCTTTCTCCTGTGGCATAGCTGTGTTGAAACAGTGACTGCAATGGGCTCAAATACAGCAGTGATTGGGAGGATGGCGCTGCTCAGTTGGTTCCAACTCATACTGACATTATAGCATAAGTAAACTTGCTCTGTAGTATTGGCTAGCCTTAAATTTTTTAATTTTAATAAATCATTTTATTGGGGGCTCTTAACAGCACTTATAACAATCCATGTAGCCTAAAACCTTTTTTTAAAAATCATTTTATTGGAGGTTCTCACAGCTCTTTCCACAATCCATACATCCATCCATTGTGTCAAGCACATTTGTACATATGTTGCCATCATTTTCACAACATTGTTTTTCTACTTGAGCCCTTGGTATCAGCTCATTTTTTTTCTGCCCTCCGTCCCTCATGTTCCCTTAATAACTTATAAATTATTATTTTTCCATGTCTTACACCGATTGGTGTCTCCCTTCACCCACTTTTGTTATTTGTCCACACCCCCCGCCACCCCGTGGTGGTGGTGGTATATGTTGGTCATTGTTATTGGTTCCCCCTTTCTCCCCTCACCTTCCCCCTACCTTCCTGTTATCGATACTCTCATTATTAGTCCTGAGGGGTTTATCTGTCCTGGATTCCATGTGTTGCAAGCTCTTATCTATATCTGTGTACATACTCTGCTCTAGACAGATATGTAAGGTAGAATTGGGATCATGATGGGCGGGGCAGCATTAAAGAACTAAAGGAAAGTTGGATATTTTGTGGGTGCTGTACTGCACCCCGAGTTAGCCTGTAATGTTTGTAGAAACAGATTGCCAACTTTTTTTTTTTGATTGCCAACTTTTTTCTCCTGCAGGATCATTGATGGGTTTAAAATCACTGACCTTTCAATTAATAACTGAATACTTAATTGTTTTGTGGCCTGGGCTTAAGTGTTCTATATTATCCTAATTCTTTGCTGCTAAATTTTATCCTGTTAAATTTTGCCACCTTTTAGAGCTTTACATTTTGTCTTATAAAATATTTAAAGTATTTTGAAGACACAAGTTTGATGTATCACAGGATCAAGACTGTAGTAGCTTTTTATTCAGGAACATTACATTTTTAATGTAAATCACTTTAGGTGATTTAGATATTGTGCAAACATCATGTTGTCGTCTGGTCCTGCTTTTCCCCTCGTTCCTTAGTCATCTTCAAGGTGCTGAGTGGTTCACTTTTGAGCTTGGTCCTCAGTTCATTCTGTTAGTAATTTCTCTGTACCCTCTTGCATTTTCGTGAGCTTTGTGGCTTTTAGTGGAGCTGATCTTGTAACAGCAACGAGAGTCTGTCTTCCTTTTGTTTTTGAGGCTCCTTGTGATGTTGAGTATGACATGCCCAATTGTGAGCACACTGATTTCCATCACGTGTTGTTTGATAACCTTGTGTTTCATACATAAATCGATACCTCGCCTTTGCTTCCTGCTGTTGCTATCATGAGCATTAGGGTTGTGTTTGGAGCCATGAAGCACGTCACTGTAATATTTAAAAATTAAAAGAGCTTGGCAAGGTGAGGGGTTTGAATGCTACTGCCTATGGGTTGAATCATACTGCTATATCGTGAGCTTTTCAGGTAGCAGTGCAGTATATACATAAGCCAGTAACAGGCATTTATTCTGATGATTAAGACATAAGTATTATAGATTACATATGTTCTGTACCATTATGCACCTGGCAGCATGATTCTTTTGCACACATGACACATGAGATGAATGTGTTGCATGTGGAAGCTATTGCATTTACTATGTCCCCTTGTCTGATCGGAATTTTGCTACAAGCTATGGTACTACAGGGGCCCTGGAGGCATAGTGGTGGCTTTACTAACCAAAAGGTCAGCAGTTTGAAACTACCAGCTGCTCTTCAGGAGAAAGAGGAAGGGTTTTTTTAACCCTGTATGGTGTTATGATCTTGGCAGCCCACAAATACCCAAACACATATAACTACCACCTTAATTAATGGAAATGATAGCGCCCTAGTAAGCCCACCTTTAAGCCCTTCCCAGTCTGTGCTCCAAGTTATTCTTGTGGGGAAAAAGTAGTACCTACTTATACTACTGTTTACTTCTCAGCAGCAGCCTTGGTTTTAGACAAAGTATCAAGCTACTGCTCTCAGTACCTGCCAGGCTGAACAGAGAACTTTTTAAAACTTATGCGCCGCCATTTTTGTCATGTGCCTCCTTGTAAATCTATAGTCCAGTGTGAAATACTTGTGACAACAATAATAGTTCCCACCTTTAAAAACTGGTAGATAACGCACTTTTGACTTTCCAAAAATAATTTAAAAACTAAAATTCAGTGCCATTGAATTGCTTCCCATTTATAGTGACCCTAAAGGAAAGAATAGAACTGCCCCTGTGAGTTTCTGAGACTGTAAATCTTTAAGGGAGTAGAAAGCTTCATCTTTCTTCTGTGGAGCGGCTGGTAGTTTTGAACTGCTGACCTTGTGGCTGGCACCCAACGTATAACCTACCTATGCCACATGGCTCCTTAAACAATAATAAGATACTGTATATATTGTGAGGAGCTTTGGTGACATAGTGGTTATGTGTTGGGCTGCAATCATCAGTTTGAAACCACCATCTGCTCCTCTGGAGACTGATGGAGCTTTCTACTTCCGTAAACACAGTCTCAAAAACTCATAGGGGTAGTTCTTCCCTGCCTGAGAGGGTTGCTATGAGCCAGTATTAACTTAAAAAACAAATTATTGGGGGCTCGCACAGCTCTTATCACAATCCATACACCCATTGTGTCAATCACATTTGTACATTTGTTGCCATCATCATTTTCAAAACATTTTCTTTCTACTTGAGCCCTTGGTATCAGCTCCTCATTGTTTTACCTCCCTAACTCCCCCACCCTCCTTTCCCCCTACCTCACAAGCCCTTGATAATTTATAAATTATTATTTTTCATGTCATACTCACTGATAACGCCCTTCACCCACTTTTATGTACGTAGATCATTGTGATCAGTTACCCCTTTCTCCCCCCCACCTTTCCCTTCCCCTTCTGGTATTGCTGTTATCATTACTGGTCCTGAGGGGTTGTTTGTGTGCCCTACATTCCGTTTCCAGCTCTTGCCTGTGCCAGTGTACATGCTCTGGTCTAGCCAGACTTGTAAGGTAGAATTGGGGTCATGATCGTGGGGGGTAGGAAGCATTAAAGAACAAGAGGAAAGTTGTATATTTCATAGGTGCTATACTGCACCCTGACAGAGCCAGTGTTACCTTGATGACAGTGAGGAGGAGGAGGAGGAGGAGGAGTCATATATTGTGGACTTGGCCTTTATTTATTATGTTATATCTGAATTTATGTTTCACGTTACAGGTATCTCTCCTGCCATCTCTCTTTCAATGAAATACAGGATATTAGTATTACCATCCTTTAGATTAAACAGATAAGCATTAACAATTCTTTTGTTCATTATATCATACTTGATGACAACTTTAAAAAGAAAACCATTAAGCATAAATGGTTTTATATGTTAATATGTATCAATACCCAAAGTAAGGTTGTGCTTTGTTTCCCCAGCGATGTGTTGGCATTACCCATCTTCAAGCAGGAAGATTCCAGCCTCCCGCTGGACGATGAGACGAAACACCCACCCTTTCAGTATGTGATGTGCGCAGCCACGTCACCAGCAGTAAAACTGCACGATGAAACACTCACGTACTTGAACCAAGGTACGTATAACGAGACCTTATTTTGACATATAAGAATTTACAAATTTGAAAGTAAATGTTTTTGGCATTCTAGACTAGATTACTGATAAAAATTCAAGATTCTCCCCCCCATCTTTGTTTTATAACTGGTTAATGAAAATTATGGGAGTTTTACCGACAGCCAGAAGAATGACTAGTTTGAGGAAACTGTTTTATATAAGGAGAGTCTGGTGTGCATTCTACAGGGCTTTTCGGAAAAGTGGGGAGCTAGTAGAAAAGGCTATCAGTGGTTTCAAGAATGGAACCCAAGGAAGAACCAGAAGTTCAACTGAGAGAGGAAACATGTTTTGCTGAAAATAAAAACATCAAGATGCATTCTATGACTATACTGCTTCAAATTTTATCTGCTCATGATTGTCTATAAGATCCTTGGGAGCATAGTGGTTGTACATGGGGATGCTAACCACCCGGTCCAGCAGACTGAAGCCACCAGGTGTTCCATAAGGAAAGATGGGACTCTCTACTCCCATACAGAATCACAGTCATGGGAACTGACAGGGGCAGCTCTGCCCTGTCTTACAGGGTTGCTATGAGTCAGAAGTGACTCGATGGCAGTGAGTTTGGTTTTAATTGTCTTATGCTTTGTCATAGTGCTAGGTTTTGGCAATAATATACATGGGAGTGTATAATAGGGTAAAGTTAATTATAGATTAAGGGATTCTTTTTTAGGTGCTCTTAACGGTTTGGATACAAGCCAATGTGACCCAGCAAATATAAACTAAAATACTTTGATATGCACAAATTAATTTGTTAGATACATGTATTGAAAACGTTTACGTCTCTCAAAATTTGTGTTATAAAAATAGTACATGTTTATTGTAGAAAAATTTAAAAATATGAGAAGGAAGAGATATAAAGCAGAAAATGGACTTCATTTGCATCCCACGAAGATGGAGTTAATCAACATTTTTTATCTATTTTCTGTGGGACTAGTTACTTTGGATTTTTCGAATACTTTTCCTCATTGTTTCCAACTTTTCCATCCCAATCGCCAATAATTGTCAACGCATCTTGATTGTATGTTTGATGAATTTCAGACTGGAGATGTTGGTAGATTCATTAATTTCTGCATCACAAACCAGAGGGTGGGTACATAGAAATGAATAGTTGTATTGATATGATTTCCTTGTATGCGGGTACATATTAACATCTTACCAACAGCATTGTACTTTAAGATTGCTCTTGAAATGTCTTTTTGAACAAATGCAACACTGTACCTCTTGATTGTGTCATAAAATGGCCAATACCAGTCCACTTCAGCTTATTAACATTATTAAAGGATGTTTGCAGCTGTTTATTCTCAGCTTGAGTTGTGCCCCATCAGCAAACCAGGTGTGGTTGGTTCTCTGCCTCATCCACATTTTGAGTGACTTCCATTCCAGCACTAACTCTGACAGTGTTCTGCTTCTGTTTATGAAGTTTTCCAATAACTGACAATGTTTGGATGTTATTCATAGCTTTTTCAGTGGCTAATTCATTTGAAGTGTGGACAATCTCATCTTTCTTCATAGTCTTATTCTGGAAGCTCCCCGAAACCTGTTCACTTTTTCTTTTTAAAGTTTTATTTGCACTTTATCCATGTCATACAATTCAATAATTAATCATACCAAGAAGAGTTGTACAATTTTCATCATATTTAATTCTAGGACACTTTATTCTTCCTTGTAGTCATTCATGTTTTTTCCCTAACTGTAGCAATAATATACACAACAGAGCATTCTCTATTTCCACAACTTCCACTTGTATAATTTAGTCTTTTTTTTTTTTTAGTAAAAGATCATTTTATTGGGCCTCTTACAGATCTCATAACAATCCATACATCAATTGTATCAAGCATATTTGTACATACATTGCCATCATTATTTTTTAGGAAAGGTTTTTTTTTTTTTTTTTAATTATACTCGTGAGATAGTTTATTGTGCCAGCCTGGCTGATAAACGCAGGTGGGATTGACTGAGGGGCGGAGAGATAGATGGCTTGGTGAGCCTCGCCTTTCTTGTCTCTCGCTCTTTGATCATCGGACCAGTGTGCGGCTGCCTTGCTTCTTCTGTGCCTCAATTTAAAGGCTACACTGCCTGTGGGACGCCTAGCCTGTGGACTGTGTCGCTGTGAGTTGAGGTCCCTTTAAGACATCTCTGGAGCTGGGGACTGGCAGTTGGTGACCTGGCTGGCAGTTGGTGACCTGCCTTGTGATTGGCTGCTGTGCTGACATAGCCTAGCTCTCTCTATAAATAGAGGAAGATCTGGCAGCAGACTAGACTTGAAGGGCTGCTAGTCTCTCACAACTCTCTCACGGGAGTGAGTTGTATTGAGCCATTTGTAGTGCTTTATAATCTGTTTATTTCTTGCATTATATATTTATCTGTATATGATTGAACAGTTCATTTCTTGTTATATATCTAATTATCTTTATAAAGAAATCTATTAAATTATCAGCAATTTGGTTTTATCTCTCTAGAGAACCCTGTCCAAGTTTTTCAGCACCTTTTTTTTTACATTGATTCAGTCTTTGAGCTGTACAGCCACTATTGATATCCTTTTCCAAATTATTCTACCATCAACATAAACTCAATGCTGTCTAGGCTGAAACCTGTTCACTTTGGATGAACCTGTTAGTATTTGGACTAACAATGATGTAAACTTTAGCATATACAAGCCACCACAGTACAAAAAAATGACAGGTAAGTTGAGTTTATCAAGTGGTTTTTTGCTGGATTGCAGTAGTCTCAGAACTCACAGACAAGGCTCATGATTATAGGTTTATTAAAGAAGTTAACAGGTTACAGTTCAAAGTGAGAAATGCTCAGGATGCTGTTTAGTCAGGACAATTGCTTCTCTGCAGTGCCCACACTCAGGCCTCTCTCTGGCCCTCAGCCTCTTGGCATGGCCTTTGCCCTTCTTGTGCAATGTTTCTATTTTAGGGCTTCTAGAAAATGCCTTAGGGCATGCAGGCCACTATTAAGTTTTTACTTGAAGGCACTCTTTTCAGTTCCAGCTCTATGGTCAACAAACCTAGCACCCAACTTAAGTGCCTCAAGGCATCCCACTCCACAGGCTAGCCTTCTGCCCCAAAGCATTCATTTTTCCTTAACTCTGGGAATTTCACATGTCTCATGCTTTGTCTCCTGGCTCTGCTGCTGCTGCTGCTGCTGTTTCTCTGTCCAAGCTGTCTCCTGGATCATGGAGGTTCACTGTGTAGGGTCCAAAGGACATGCCAAATACCTGACTTATCTCTCTTGCTGGTAATGAGATCCTCCCTCCTCCTGCAGTGATGGGTCGTTTTATACCCAACATGAGGGCAATCCCAATGACTCCTGTTAATAAGCACTGACAATTGAATCCTATCAATATCTGCTTGGGCTAGAAAGAGCCTTGTTAAATAATTCACTGTAGTTGGCCATTTTTATAATCACACTATTCTTTAGGTCATGGCTTCCCTCCTAGAGCCTCTTAATAAAAATTTTCAATGCTGCCTCTATATTTGACTAAAACAGTTTCTCGGTGAAAGAAAAAATCCTTGATGATATGAGAAGATGGAGTACTGGATGTAGGCGTGCCCTTCTCTAGCAGTGGCTCAGGACTGGAACCTTTTCCCAGGACAACCATGTAGTGTGATTGTTGCAGGATTTTCTGAAACAACTCACCCAGCTATCTTAAGAAGACCTGGACTGCAGAGCAGAAGCCGATGATGACTTAGATGAGAATCAGCACCATCTTGTGTGAACTGCATTTCGATCTTGGGACTACGTTCTCCAGAATCCTTAAGCATCTAGTAGAAGCAGACAGACCATTCTTGTACTGAAACCCCCAGAATCCCTCATGCCTTTAATTCACCCTTCCACAAGTACTACCCTGTTCCCCGAAAATAAGAGTGTCTTATATTAATTTTTGCTCCCAAAGATGCGCTAGGTCTTATTTTCAGGGGCTATCTTATTTTTCCATGAAGAAGAATACGGTACACATTTATTGTTTTATTACAAGAGACCTCGCACTTCCTGTCTGCTCTGGCTGAGCTGCGGCCAACAGTGAGCTGCGGGGGTGCACCTGCTGCTACGGTCCAGAGTCCAGAGTTATGGTAGCTTCGGGGGGGCGTATTTTCGGGGGGATGCCTTATATTTCAACGAGAGACAAAACTGTATAAGTACTTTCAGGGAAGCACTGTGGGTGTTGTCATCCTTCTGTCCGAACCATACTTCAGGCCATGGTTTCCCTTTAAGGGTCATCTAATCAAGCTTCCCAGTGTTAGGGGGAAATTTTTAAAAATTTAAATAATAAATAATTCACTGTACTCAGCTTGGTAAAGTGGAAGGCCAGTGAAAATGAGAAATCCTCAATGAGATGGGTTGGCATAATAGCCATAACAATGGATTCAAGCATACCAATGGTTATGCAGATGGCGTAAGACCTCTTGAGGTGAAGCCAATTTGATGTCAGGAAACAGAGTTCTTTGTGGAGCGGTGGTGGTGGTGTCGGGTAAGCATTGAACTGCTAACCAGAAGGTTGGTGGTTCAAACTCCTTAGCAGTTCCACAGGAGAAAAAGGAAGGTATCTGTTCTCGAAAATATTTACCCCCTTGGAAAACCATATGTATATTTGCTATGAGTTAGAATCAACTTGACGGCAGTGAGTGGGTTTTTAGACAAGTGTTTTGAACTAAGCCAAGCTATCAGATCTTGGCTTCCATGATTTCATGTAAGGAAACTAGATTTAAAAGTGTCTATTCATGGGTGGGTAGGGACATGAGCTCTGCAGACAGACTTTTAAAATCTGTAGTGCCGTTACATTTCTAAGCCAAAAAGGGAGGGGTAAGTGGAACTCTGAAAGATAAATTTAGAAAACAAAACTAAAAAATAGGATTAGCAACTTCTAGAGTATTGTTCCTTGATGCTACTAATTAGTAGTTGAACTTTATAACTCAGAACCTAGACTAATATTGCAGGAAGCTATGTTATTTTTAAAAACACGGAAAGGGTGTGGGAGCCACAAATAGAAATTACGCCTATTTAAATTTGGTCACCTCAGTGGCCCTGACCATTGAAGATATTTGTTGTTAGGGACTTCTAAATAGTCTTCAAATTGTGATAAAGCTGAAAAACAGACGGAGGTCTACACCACCACCACCCCGTTTAAAAAAATTACATTTGAAGCATGAAGCCTAAAATTTTAGGATATATAAGTTAGAATTTTTTTTTTAGAAGAATACAAACAAGATTGGTAAGTCTTAAGAGCCATTTGTGGAAGTACATTGGACTTGCATTGAGTATAATTGTTTCTTTATTAAGTTGACCTGGAAAAAGAATACAAAAGATGAGAACATTAGAATTTCTTTCTTTTACTTGCTTTCAATCCTGAGCATTTTTAACTGTGAGGATCACAAGAAAATTTTTTGGAGGCAAATTGTCTTATTTTGACAGTTAGTGAAAGGGTTTCTAGGATGCTGTGTACTTGATTCACCTCCCCCTCACTGGCAGCATTTCTTTAACCAGAAAACCAAACCCATTACCATGGAGCCAGTTCTAACTCATGGGATAGAGTAGAAATGTCCCAGAAGGTTATCAAAGCTCTTATCTTTGTTTTAAATTTTTTTAAGTAATCATTTTATTGGGTCTCCTATAGCTCTTATAACAATCCATACGTCAGTTGTATCAAACACAATTGTACATATGTTGCCATCAATTTAAAAACATTTTCTTTCTGCTTGAGCCCTTGGAATAAGCTTCTTTTTTTTTTATCCCCTCTCTGTATTAAGTTAAATTTGGAGGGGTTAGGGGGGTGGGGGAGCCAGCCCCCACCACTACTACTACCCACGGGTTCAGTAAGCACAATTGTACAGTTGTGGTATATAAGTATTAAAGTCATCGAGAGCATGAGAGGTATTACAATAATGCAGTCAGACACATTACATGGTAGCATTGCTCACCTTAGCCCAGCTTGGTGGTCCACGTGGAGAGAGGGGGAAGAGAAGGAGGGCAAGGGAACAAGGGAGAGAGGACAGAAGAGGAGAGGGGGAGGAGAGGGGATCCAGAGAGAGGGGTCAGGGAG